TTAAATATCGACGAGATAACAAATAGTAAAATAAAATTCCAGGAAGAAAAATTATTCTGTAAAGAATTTCTAGACTGATTTAATTTAATAAACTTGAAATGATAAATTTTTTTGGTTTTTTTGTTTTTGTTTTTCCGAACTTTCAAATGAAGAAAATCAAACGTTCCGTGTATAATAATTCGTCCTCCTTTTCAATTAATTATAATGATGATGATGATAATAATAATAATGATGATGATAATGATAATGATAATTAAATTCACGAACGAATGATTACGAGCGATGATGATTTTGAAAGCGATAACGAATCAAATTTTTTTATTTTTAGTTTCAATAATAATAATAGTAAAAAAAAAAAACTTTCAGAAACAATTATTATTATTATCATTATCATCATTTCGAAACCAATTATATAATTAATTATCCGTTTGAAATTTCCTTTTCATTCCGTTCCTTAACTTTTGGTGTTTATCCAGTTCCAAACTGGAATTTTTTAAAGTTTTCAAAGGGTTTCGATGATGACTTTTTAAATTCGATTATTATTATTATTTTTGTTTTTGCGTTTAAAAAAAAAAAAAAACAAAAAAAAAATTCACACGTGCGTGAGTGAGTGTGTTCACGTGGAAAATATGCAAAAAAATTTCCCTAGTTTGGGGGAGAGGGAAAGGCGGGAAAAAAAATAAGGGTAAATTTAAGAGTTTTTAGGAGAAGGAGGAGGAAGAGGACAACGACAATCCTGAAAGAGAAAATAATGTGGGATGCGTGTGAGAGAGAGGGGTAGGAAGAGAGAGAGAGTGAGAGAGAACAAACGAATTTTCAATTAAAGAAAAACTAGCTCCTCGAAAAAAAAAAAATTATTATTATTTTTCCGGAAGTAAAAAGTGTGGAAGTCGTAATAATCGAAGAAGGGGGAGGGACTTTTCGGATACGAGGAGGGAATGGGGGAAGGAGGAAAAGCGAAATAGAATCATTAGATAGTATTTTGCCCCCCCCCATTACCCCCTCCTAAAGGATAATTTTTTTTAAATACTCTCATTAAGTTCGCGAGAAGAATTTTTATATTAAAAAAAAGAAAAAAAGAAAAAAAAATTAAAAATTCATTCCACGATTTAAAAAAAAAAAAAAAAACTTTTCTTTCTCTCTCTCTCTTTCTCTCTCTTTCTCTCTCTCTCTTGCCGAATAAACGAGAAAGGCAAACAATAATTAGACTCTCATTTTCTGGAACGTTCCAGTAATTCACTCACATAAACCGGAAATAATAAAAATATTTCTTTATATATATATCATTATTGTTCGAGTAAAAAATTTTTTTTTATCAATTATTTTATCACTTATCATCGTTAATTTTTTCTTTGCTTGCTGCTCCCCCCCCTAAAAAGGAAACCTTTTTTATTATTATTATTATTATTATTATTATTATCATCTATTCATTTTCTAGGCGCGTGTGAGCGTGTGTGTGTGTGGGTGTGTTAGGTAATAAAACGCCCATTTTTTTTTTTTTTAATTAATAATGATGATAATAATAATTCGCGCCTTTTTTCCAAATCCTTTTTTACGTCCTTTGAAAACTACTACGATTATTATAACTGTTAAAACCTTTTTTTGTTGTTGTAATATTCGTTTTCGCTGCCTTTCTCGCTAATCCAAAAAAAAAAAAAAAGGCTGGAAAATTTTTTTTTTTTTATCTATTGACACTTCAACATTAATTAAAAAAAAAAAAATTTTTTTTTAAAACCTTTACCTTTCCCCTTTCCCCTTCTCCTTTTTTTTTATTATTTTCACGACGACTCGTTTTATAATTCCCTTTGCATCATCATCATCATCATCATTGAGTCATTTTGTTTTTTTTTAAGTGTTCAAACAAAGGTTTCTCTATTAAAGGCTATTACTTTTCTCGTAAAAAAAAAAAAAAAATTTAATAGCCTTTTTATAAAAGGCTATAAAACAAAAAAAATGCATAAAATCCGCGGATGTTTTTCCTTTTTTTTTTTTTTAATTTTAAATGGGCGAATGTGAAACAAAAAAAAAAAAAACAAAAAAAGTCTAGAAAATTCGCAATTTGACTTTTTTGTTTTAAATAATAATAATGATAATAATCCGTCCGCGGTGACGTCATATTAAAAAAATTTTCCTTTTTTCTATTTAGGTTCGAAACGATTCTGCGTTCAAATAAAATTTCATGATGAAATGTTATCAGAATTCGTCAGTTTCTTCTGCATTTCGAAAGTATTTAGTGGAAAGAAGAAGAAGAAGAAAAGTGGTAAAAAAAGGAAAAAAGGAAAAAAAAGAGAATGAGTATCATAGAGAAAAAAAAAAAAAAAAACGATGACGACGATACGAAAACGTGTTTTGAATTTTTAATCCATTTTTTTTTTTTGTGCGAGAAAAATTACAGTTTTAGCTTTTCTCATGGGAAAAGCAAAATATGGGAAAGAGATCGAACGAACGTAAAGAAGAAAAGAAAAAATGGCGGAATCGAAATCAAAAGGGAAAATGTCGATCACGTGACGAATGATGACGTAAACCAAAACAATTTCAGTTAAAAAAAATAAAATTTTTTTTTTTTTTTCGTTCGCGTTTTTCTTCTCATTAAAAACAAGAAAAAAATCATACGAATTAAATGATGATGATGATGATGATGTCGTTTGTAACGACGACAATAGTAATAATAATCCTGTCGACAAACAACAAACACGACAACAACAATCGTGATAATGTTGTTTATCATCTCGACGTGAGGTGTTAATAAACAAAAGACCTTCGATTCGTATAATTCACCGGCAATTAAAAGATTTCGTTTTTTTTTTTTTTGTGAAAAATAATAATTCGTTGGTGCCACGTCGTTCGTATCATTACTTTTTTTTTACGTACGTACGGGACGAAAGATCGATTAAAATATCCAACGATATATATCGATTTAAACGTAATGACTATTGTTTATGACGTAAACGACGACGATGAAAAAAAATCAAGTGTCAATAGCGGTGGTACGTGGAAACAATACTTTGTCACGTTTGTCGGTGAGTAAAAATTTGATTTATACCCATTTTTGATTTGTTTGTTTGTTTTTTTGTTCTGTAACAACAAGGGGAAGGCATTTTATTAATTAAATCGTGGAAGAAGTGAAATGTGAGGTTTAGAAAGGAAAAATATTTATATAGAAAGTGGTAGAAGGTAGAGAGAGAGAGAGAAAGGGTGAGCTGAGAAAGGATGAGAAAGTGAGATGTTTAGGGAAATGAGGAAAAACGACGTGGGATTATTATATACGTGTATATATAATTAAAATATTTAAAATCGATATTTTCTTATTTCCACGTTTTTTTTTTATTAATAAGATGTAACTCTCGTTAAATTCATGTCTTGAACTTTAATTAAAACGTCAAATTAACGTCGTCAATATTTTTAAAAAAATATTATTTATTAATTACGCGGTTATCGCAGGTAATAAGGAAAATGTCTAGTGCCACGTCGGGTGAAATGATAATAAAATAATATTAAACAAACATTCGATCGTTTAGTTGAAATTTATCTTAAATTTTCTTTTTTTTTTCGACGTTATGCGTTTCTTTTTTTTTTTTTTAACGCATCGTCGTGGAATTAACTTTGTTGGTAAAGGCGGAAGGAACGGTAACTCCTCCCATAAAATTTAACAAAGAAAAAAAAAAAGAAAATTTATTTATCAACAGTTAACTTGGGAGCGTTTTCCATTGGAACCTTGCTGGGATGGACGAGTCAAACGATACCAAAATTAAAACAACAACAACAAGATGATGATAATAATAATGGTGGTGTCGTAAATTTAAACGAAAGCGAATTATCATGGATGGCGGGATTAATGCCTTTGGGTGCCGCCGCAGCTTCCGTACCTGTACCACTCTTAATGAAATATTTCGGACGGAAGTTGACTCTTTTATCAGTCGTGCCATTTTACACGGGTGGTTTTTTTCTTCTCGCATGGTCTCGTAATGTAAATACACAAATTTTCCTTTTTTTTCTGTCTAATTTCATTTCCGCCCGGAATTTTACTGCCAATAAATTTGATTAAAATTCTTACTACTATTATTATTATTATTATTATTATTATTATTATTATTATCATTTGGATTAATTAACTCTCTGTCAATATCACGTCGACTACATTTTAATTAATTAAAAAAATTTTTTTTTTTTTTTTTTGACGATCACGCAACAGAAAAAAAAAAAGATGAAATCGTTACGAGACAAAAAAAAAAAATTTAACTAATGAAAAACGAAAAAAAAAAAAAAAAAATTGTATCGTGATAATGATAATAATAAGCATTCGTTTTCCAAGAACTCGATGGAATCTTGTTTGTAGAGAAAAAAAAAAAAAAAAACATACTTAATTGAAATGTCGTGTCGATAAAAAAGAAAAAAAAGAAAAAAAAATGGCGTCGTTAAATGAAAAAAAATTTTTTTGGATTTAAAAAATCATCGAGAAAATTTTTTATTAAAAAAAAAAAAAATTAAAAAGTTAAACATTTCCGTTTCCGGTTAAATTTTTTTAATTAATTTTAATCGATAATTATTAATAATAGTAATAGTAGTAGGAAATTTTTTTTTATTTTTTTTTTTAATTATGGTAAAAATTTTATCGATGAGTGATTCAAATTTAAAATTTAACAAAATTGTTTTAGTCTCGGGGCGCCGAAAAGGAAAAAAAAAAAAATGAACCGGAAGTCGATGTAAAAAGTTTGACTCTTTTGAAAATGAAATTAAAAATGTCCGACATTTTGTTTTATTAAAAAAAAAAAAAAAAAATTATGATTTTTATACATCGTGTCGCGCTAAGTTTTTTTTTTTTTTTTCGTTCTCTCGTTCGTTACTTATTCGTTTGCCGATATTTAACCTTTAACCTTTTGAGAAAAAAATTTTTTATTTTCCAGGCTGGAATGTTTTATGCTGGAAGATTTATAACGGGTTTATGCGGAGGAGCTTTCAGCATAATATCACCGATATACACGGGAGAAATTGGTGATAAAAACATTCGGGGATCTCTGGGTACTTATTACGAATTTATGTTGGCTGCCGGCGTGGAATTTTCTTACGTCATAGGCGGAATCACTTCCGTTTTTTGGTTTAGCATAACGTGCGGTTTAATACCGATACTTTTCGGTATTATTTTCATTTTCGTTCCGGACTCTCCGTATTATTACGTTTCGAAGGTACAGACGGGTATTTAAACGAATTTTTTTGTCAAGTTGGCAACACTTTTTTTCATTTCTTTTTTTCACAAAAAAAAAAAAAAATCGAATTTTGTATAAAATATTTCACTTTTTAAGTAAGTGAAAGTTTTACCAAAGTATCGATTTCGTTTTTAAACCGGAAATGGTTTTTCTTATCTTTCTTTCCCCCCCTCTCTCTCTCTCTCTTTCCGTTTTAATAAGTGAATTTTTTTTTTTTCTTTTTCGTTTTAATAATTTATTTAACGTCACGACGACAACGACGACGACGAAACATTATTTTTACTAATTGGTGTAATTAAGGTTTTTTTTCCTCCCCCTCCTTCTCTCCCTTCCATTTTTCTCCCGTTACCTGGGTCAAAGGTTAATGTTACACCGAAAAAACATTCTCTAATTTATCATATTAATATTATTATTATTATTATGAGTAAAACATTTTAAACGGTGTGTACGAATGATGCGTCGGATTGCGTTTATTTTTTTTTTTCCAACTCTTTCCGGTTTTTGTTTTTTGCCGCCAAAAAATCAACAAACGACGCGAATTTAAAATCGTAATGATTTTTTGATAATGATAATGATGATGGTGAAGAGAGATAAAATAATATTAATTTAGATTTTATTTATCGATAGGGGGGGAAAAAAAAAAACTAATTTATTTGATTTCATGTTAAAAAAAAAAATTCATCATCTCCACGTCGTGTAATAATAATAATAATAATAATAATAATATTGGAAAATGAAATGTTTTTTTTTCTACTTTTAAAAGTCTCATATTTCTATCGTGAAAAAGATTTTTATCAAATTTCTATTATTAATAATTTTTTTATATTCGATTAATAATAAATGGCGTCGAAAAAAAAAAAGTCATTTCGTCACATAAATAAATAAAAATTGAAAAAGAGAGAGAGAGAGAGAGACTCAACGATCCGACCAATAAGAGATCATCATTAAAAAAATTTAACCAATGAATGATTTTAATTAATTAATTAACGTTTAACTTATATTAATAAAAAAAAAAAAATTTTGTTTTTTTTTAAGGGTAAAATAAATGAAGCAAAAAATTCGCTGATGTTTTTCCGGGGAAATAATAATAATAATAATAGCATAGATGTAGAATTGAACGATATAAAAAGATTCGTGAACGAAAGCAAAACGAAAAAATTATCATTAAAATTATTTACACGTAAAGCCGCGATAAAAAGTTTATTGATCGCTTTTGGTCTTATGATATTTCAACAGTTTGGAGGTGCAAATGCTGTCGTTTTTAACACCACGTTTATTTTTAAGGTTTTTAAAAAAAAAAAATTTTTTATTTGTCACGAATGAATGAATGAATGAATGAATTTTATGTTTTGCTGTTGTTGTTGTTGTTATCAGGAAGCGGGAACGGATTTGGAACCGTCGAAAGCGACTATGATTGTCGGACTCATGCAATTTTTCGGTAATTTTTTATCAATGTTATTAATTGATAAATTGGGAAGGAGAATTTTATTGATGATGTCGGGAGGTGCCATGGGAACTTGTACTTTAATATTAGGAATTTACTTTCACTGGATTATAAACGATAAGGTGAGTCGATTAATCGATTCATCGAACCATCGATCGATCGATAATTAAAAAAATTTAATTTGTTTTGGTTTTTGTTATCTCTTGTACAGGATGTGAACGGTTTAAAATGGATTCCGTTACTTTCCCTTTGCGTTTTCATGATAATGTTTTCAATCGGTTGGGGTCCTGTTGCTTGGATGATGTTGGGAGAATTGTTTCCGACGGAAATCAAAACTGTTGCGAGTTCTTTTAGTTGTGCGACAAACTGGATAGCTACCTTTTTAGTTACAAAGGTAATAACTATTCTGTATTTTTTTTCTCCCCCCTTCTTCCCCTCTTTATCTTGTTAAACCAAGATAAATGCATTTCGCTCTAACCTCTCTCCCTGGTAGAGTGGGAGAGTTTGGGACTCAGACGAAGAAGCCACTACCCATTAAAAAAAAAACTCCGGGACGTGTTTTATCGTGCTTTTTTTTCTGGAGGGAGGGGCGCTTCAGGGAATTTTAACTTGCATTTTCCACACACCCCCTCCTGAGCCGAAATCCTTTCGCGACGCATCCCCACGCTCTCCGTGAGCGAGACGATGAATTAAAACACCCAATCTTCGCGCAGAGAGGAAAAGCCCGTACCTTAAACGATCGGAAAATTCTCAATTTTTTATTTTATAAATTTTTTCCAGTATTTTGGAGAAATGATCGATTCGGTTGGACAAAATTATACATTTTGGATATTTACAATAATATCGTTCGTTGGTTTTTGTTTCGTTTATTTATTCGTACCGGAAACGAAGGGTAAAACTTTGGAGGAAGTACAAAAACAACTTAAAGGTTTGGACAACGAAGGTTTTACTAGTTCCACTTAATTATTCGTCATTTAAACCTTATCACTCGTTCTTATCAGCTTTGTACGTAAAATGAAAAATTAATAAAACTATGGTTTACAAAAAATTACCGTATGATTCAATTTATTATTATTATTATTATTCTCGTCTGGTACATTTTACGATAAGAAATTTATTTACTTTATTTTAAGAATTCGAAACGTTTTTTTTTTTGGGGGGGGGGAAGAAAGGGGAAGAGGAAGGGGAATTTTTCCGAAGAAATCAAATTTACTCAAAATGTAATTAAAAAAAAAAAAAGAGAGAGAAAACTTTTTTTTGACTTTTAGTAGTGGTAGAAGAAAAAAAGTGGAGAAAGAGAGAGGAAGGAGGTGAGGGGAATATGAAGTATAAAGTAAAATAAAAAAAGTTTTTTTCTTTTTTTTCTAAAGATTTTTATTGAATGTTTACTTTTGGAAAAAAAAAAAAAACTTTTTGAAAGTACAATTAAATTTTTAATTTTCTTTTTTTAATATATTTTTTTTTTATCATCATTATCATCATCATCATCATTATTATTATTACTATTATTATTTTATAACGAAACCGCAGTTACTGAAATTTTGGAAATAATAAAAAAATTTTTTAAAAATTTTAAAAAGAAAAAAACGTTTATTTTTTACGATTGGCACATCTGATTTTATCAAAATTTTATAAAGTTTAAATTTTTTTATTATAATTATTATTATTATTACGAGAAAATTTTTTTAATGGGGTAATAAAACGAATTTTTCTTAAAAGTTTTAATAAATGAATGAGAGAATTGAATGTTTTTGTTTTATTTTTTTGTGATTTAATAAAATGTGACAAAAAAGAAACAGAAAAACAAAAAGTTTTCCATATCTTTCCTTTTTCTCTTTCCTTTTTTTTCTTCCTTTTTTTCCATATCTTTTAAAAATGTATTCAAATTCAATCGCAAAAAAAAAAAGAAAAAAAAAGAAAGAATGAAAAAAGCAATTTTTACTTTTTTTGAATTGGGCAAACTAAAAAAAAAAAAAATTTTTTGATGCCAGTTTTTTTTTTTTTTTTGATGTCAACTCTTTTCCCCCCTCCTCCCAATTTTTCGTAAAAATTATTTTCTCTCTCTTTCTCTCTCATTCCTTTACTTTCACTCTCTCTCTCTCATCGTCTTTTTCTTTTCTCTGTCAACTTTCACTTTTTATTTTTCAATTTACTTTTTTTTTTTTTGTTTTTTTTTTTTTTTTTTTTTTTTCATTTTATTTTTATTGTTTTTTATTCTTTTATTTTTGGAGCAGGAATTTTTTAAAAATTCAAAAAAATACCTGAAAATATAATTTCCAGGTTAAAGACGCGGAAGAAGGAGAAAAACGGAAACGGAAGTTGTGGAAAGGGTAAAAACGGAAACGGAAGTTGAGAGAAGGGGAAAAACGAAAACGGAAGTTGGGAGAAGAAGAAAGGGCGGGGAAAAATTTTTTTTAACTTGCATATCGTTAAAAGAGGATTTATTCCGTTCGTACCTGATATTTTACCAAAATCTGATCTGGAAAATGTAGGGAGAGGAGGAGGAGAGGGGTGGAGGGAAGAAAAGGAAAAGGGAAAATAGGAAAACCAAAATAAAAAATTTAATTTTTTTTTTTTTTTTATTTAATTGTCACGGAGAAACGTGACGGTAAATTTTTTTTTGTTATTTATTTTACTGGAGAATCACGTTCTGGAATTTTATATTGTATTTTGAGCGTGCGAGGTTTTCTTTTTTCCTTTTCCCTCCTTTTCTTTTCTTTATTTTCACTCAATCAACCGAATTTTCTTCTTTTTTTCTATTTTTCGGTAAAAATAAATAAATAAAATAAAATAAATTTTTTTATTGTTCCGTGGAAAAAAAAAAAAAAAACTGGAAAAATTTCATTGATTATTATTACCTTTCTCTTCTACATCTCTTCTTACCTCTTATCATTCTTAGTTGTTATCATTTTAAACTTTTTAACTTCCTCCCCTTTCCCCCTTTTTATGATTTTGTTTTTTTTTCTGTTTTGGTTTGGATGACATCCAGGCTTTTTCGAAATTGAAAATTTTCTTTTTGTTTTTTTTAAATTTATTTATTTATTTTTTGATTTAATACCGCCGAAATTTTTTCCCGTTTGTGCATAAAAAGAAACAACAACAAATCTAAAAGTATAATAATAATAATAATAATAATAATAATAATAATAATAATAATGATGATGATGATAATGATGATTACTGCCGGAAAAATCGCGACGAGTGAAAATTTAACGAAATTCACACAAAAAAAAAAAAAAGAAAGAGAGAGTGTGTGCGTGTGCGTGTGAGAACAAAACTGTAATAATAATAATAATAATAATAATAATAATAATAATAATAATAATGGCGATGATGATGATTATAAAAAAAAAATAAAAGCGAGTAAAATTTAATCGTGTCATTACGTCATCAATAAATCAATTAATTAATAAATCTATGAATAAATAAAATTTAATTTCCCCCCTCCTCTCTCTCTCTCTTTCTCTCTTTTTTGCTCCCATTACTCATTCAATATTTGTTTTGGAATAATAATAATAATGATAATAATATTTATTACGACATTAAAATTATTAATAAAAAAAAAAAAGAAAAAGGAAAATTCAATAAGTTTTTTTTTCCTTTTCCTTTTTCTTTTTTTTCTTTCCTCTTTCTCCCCTCCCCTTCTCTCTCCCGCCTATTGCTTCCTCCTCCCCGCCCCCTCATCGTTTTTTCTTCATTTTTTTTTTTTATTTTTTATTTTTGGAATTTGAAAAATGTTATTTTAATTTAAAATTTTCACTATAAGTTTTGATGAAATTACAAAAAAAAAAAAAAAAAATTTCTTTTTGGATCAATTAAAATTTCTCTTCCTTGTTTTTCTTTTTTTTTCTCTCTCTCCAGATTTTCTTTCTTCATTTACGTAAACAACATTTCCCCCCCTCCTTCCTTTTTCATTTTTCAATTTTTTAATGATGCAATTTTGAAATGACGTCATAAATTACTAGACTTTTATAAAAAAAAAAAAGAAAAAGAAAAAGAAAATAAGAAACGAGTGAAAGGATTTTTTTATAAAAATAAATAAATTCAAGAGGTTAAAAGGTCAACTTTTCCAGGTTTTATTTTTTTCCAATAAATTCTGGAATTGTAAACGTCACGTCATTTTTTTCCTCAATCCCATCAAAGAAAATTCATAATAATAATAATAATTAGGATGATGATTAATAATAATAAATTATTTCGTATTGTAAACAAATCGCTACAGGAAATCGCGTTATGTGAGGTGGCTCACATTCTTCGATAGCACCACCGATATTCCAGCATTTACCCCTAAGGAATCGTCGGGGAGAAACCTGGAATAACTTGTTTAAAAACTGACAAATATTTAAAAGGTTGTCGTGTTTAAAAGTGATAATAATAATGATAATAACAACTCGGGAATCAGTAATTAAAAAATCACAAAAGAAATTTTTATGTTGATTTGGGATAACGCAAAATTTTTTTAAACCGGAAACAATTTTCTCAAAGTTTTTTTTTTTTTTGGTTCTTTCCGTTTCCCGATGATTTTTCTTTTTTCCTTCCATTTTCAATCTTTTGACCGAATCAACAAAAAATTCCTTCGGGAATGACGGAGGAAAACCTTAATGATTTAAAAACAAACAACATCCTTTTACCCTAACGTCATCGTCGTCGTGACCAAATAATCGAAATAAAATATTTGTTCTTAATTATAATTTGTTTGCACGACGGGGAAATAGAAAAATAATGATAATAACAATAATGTCACCCGGGTGACAAAGTCAACGAGAAATACTCGAAACGCCATTTTTACAAAAAAAAAAAATTAATTACGTCATTAAAAAAAAAAAAAATTTTTTTTAAAAAACTTTTCCACGTTAAAAAGTTACTCAACATCATCCGACGACGTGTAAAAAAAAAAAGCAGACGACGAATAATAATAATAATACGAAACAATCGTAATAAAAAAAATTGTTTTTAACAATACATATGTAACTTTCGTTAAGCTGTGATTATTAATTAATGACACGTTAAATAATAATAATAATAATAATAATAATAATAATAATAAAATCCGATTTAATCGATTGATATCGTTCGAAATGTTTAAAAAAAAAATAAATTTTTATCGTCGTCGACGTCGTCGTCGTCGTTGACGCAAATTGAATTGATCGCAGAAATCCGTGAATAATGAATAACCACAACCACGTGACCATTTTTAAAAACTGGTTTCCGGTACATTTGTTTTGGAGTAAAGATAAAGGTTGATTCGAACGAAGTGTGCAAAAAACCGGATATATTTATATATTTTAACAAATCGCCTACGCCGCCATTTTTGTTTTTTTTTATTTTCGAAAATCTATCGATCGTTTATTTCGCCTTAAAAAAAAAAGGATGTCGAGGTGGGTAGGGGGGAATTTAAAATCGCGCCTAAAAAAAATTTTTTTAAAAATATTTTCACGTAAAGTAAAAAAAAAGAAAAATTTTACGATCGTACCTGAAAATCGTCTTTTTTTTTTTTTTTAAACAATACTTTTCAAATTCGTTTATGTACTCTCATAATAATGATAATAACGATGGTAATGATAATAATAATAATACGCATTCACGGTCAAATTGATTAAGTAGTAATTAAATAATTATTTCATTTTTTTTTTTTTTTAAATAATGACATAATTTTTTATTTATATATATAAAAAAAAAAAAAAATTAACAATCGGTCGGATTATATAACAAAATAATATACAGTCATGCCAACTTTCAGAAAAAAAAATTTTTTTCTTTTTTAGGTGCAGTCGATGTTTATTGAATATTAAATTTAAAAAATATGTGTTTGATTAATCACTTAACAAGATCAACAACGAGAACAACAACAAAAAAATTTTTTTTTTTTTACGTCGAGGCTTAAGTATTAATAATCAAACGTAACCTTTATTAATAATAATGATAATAATTTTTCGACTTTTTCTTTTCCTTTTTGTCTCTCT